GGGCCCCGCCTCGGCAGACAGGATGCCAGAGCTTCAAAGCTAGGCCTGGCTCAGCGCACCCATTCAAGCCTCTCCCTCGGATCTCATAAACCTCGTCCCTTCCCAGCCAAGTGCTTGCCTTCGTGCGACTGAGGCACGCCTCTTTCCAGGCCCGCCCCATCAGGCACTGGCTTTGGAGCCCAGAGCTCCTCCCCCCGCCCAGTCCGAGGCCCTGACCTCGGACACCATGATGCCCGCCCAGACCAGTCCAGGGCTCTGCCCTCGGACCTAGGAGGCCCACCCACGCCCAGGCCAGATTCCTCCCTGTGGGGAGAGCCCGAGGTCCTGTCCTTCCCGCCAGAGGCGCCAGAGGCAGTGGAGGGCCCTGGGTTCCCGTCCCGGAAGTGCTCAGAGGACCACAGGGCGGAGCTGGGAGCGGTCGGGGCTCTGCCCGCGGCCGGCCACCGGGGGGCAGCACAGACCCCGGGCGGTAGGCCCGGCCTGGCAGATGCCCCGATGCGCGGAGCTCCCTGAGCCTCAGACCCTCTGGCCGTGGTGTGTAGCTCGTAGGCGGGAGGTCCCAGGCCCGGCCAGTTCTAAATAGGCATTGAAGGCCATTGCTAGAGGGTAAATTGGTCCAACTGCTTTACAGAGCAATTTGCCAGTAATTAGTACAGTTTTAACTAGTAAAGTTAAGCACATATTCTATGACCTAGAAGTTCTACTTCTAGTATTTACCTTAGAGAAGTGCTTACATATATGCCAAGGTGGCATGCCCAGCACTGTCGTGGCCCTATTGTTTACAATAAAATCCCAATAAAACTGTAAACACCCTAAATGCCCATTAGCAAAAGAATGAGTAAATAGTGGTATATTCAAACAATGAAATGGTATTCAGTAGTTAAAATTCATGAATTGCAGCTACATGAAACAAGGTTAAATGTAAAAAAAAAGTTTGGGAAAAACAAAGTTTATTGGTACTATAAATACTAGAGGCCCGGTGCACAAAATTTGTGCATTTGGGGGAGGGGTCTCTCAGCCCGGCCTGCATCCTCTCGCAGTCTGGAGCCCTCGGGGGATGTCTGACTGCTGGCTTAGGCTCCCCCCTCCCCCCACCCCCAGGGAGCAGGCCTAAGCCGGCTGTCGGACATCCTTAGTGCTGCCACGGAGGTGGGAGAGGCTCTCATCACTGCCACTGTGCTCACCAGCTGTGAGCCTGGCTTCTGGCTGAGCAGCACTGCACTGACCACCAGGGGGCAGCTCCTGCATTGAGCATCTACCCTCTGGTGGTCAGTGTGCATCATAGTGACCGATCATTCCACCATTCAGTCTATTTGCATATTAGTCTTTCATTATCTACTAGAGGCCCAGTGCACTAAATTTGTGCATGGG